AACTGAAACAGCACTATTAGAAAATGATACCATGAGCATTAGGATGTATAATTCATGTTGCTTTCATTTGCTCAGACCATTGTAAAAATCCATAAATCATTTTCTTGTTCATGTATTGCTTAAGTGCAATTTGTCATTTTGCATTAGAGGGCTGCTTCAGCTCATCAGTGCTTTTAATTCACTGTTTAGAGTTTAACAAAATGCTGGCCCTGTCTGATCACTTGAAAAGACACTGAAATGTGAAGCCATACCAATGTTAACTAGGTTAAACAAAATAGAGAACATTTCTACTTTGGATATCAAGCACAGTTTAATGGAATAGCTAGCATTCTCAGTCCCCATAAACATGGATTGCTTCTCTGTTGGGGTCAAAGCACTAGAATGCGATAACTAAAGAGTTACCTGAATGCTTCTAATCACATAGGAGACCATATATATATATCCCCTCCCACCAAAAATTTCCAGCCAACATTTACTCTTTATTGCAGATGAACAAAAGTTAACACAGTGACTGTGGTGTTGTCTCCAAAGCCTTACCTTCCTCCCTCTTAAGTTAGGCAAACCTACTGCATGGTTACTCTTCTAAGATGCAATGCAGTCCAGGTCCTTTGCATTTGCTCTCTTCACTCCCCTTGCTGGAAATGACAAATGCCTGGAACCATCTAGCTCAATTCTGAATGATCCTGGCCTTTGAAAGATTCCTAATTGACAATTTTAATTTTTGTCTTCCACTTCTTAAAAAAAAAAAAAAGTCTTCTCTTAAAGCTCTGGGTACACTGCAATAATAAGAGGATTTAGAGACAAATTGCTTTCAAGTCAAGTTAAATCACTGCAAACACTCATTTATCCAAAGGCTGGTTAACAAACGCATTTCCCTCCTGCCTTTTCTAGAACAGGGTAGGAAAGAAAGCAACCGGGTTACCTACTTTCCAAGTTTGTAACTATGAACATAAATTTACACATTTGTGGGATCCTTTGCGTCTCCCTATGTCTTATGCACTTAGAGCCCCATGAAAGAGACGCATGTGCATTATCATTCTCATACACCAATCATGGCTTTTAAGAACATTGATTTTGATAATCTCTTTCTAAATAAAAAAAAAACAACAACAAAAAAAAACCCCCACTTTCCCCTTCTGTTTTAGATGCAGTTTGTTTTGGCCCAGGTGGTTGGTGCTCCTGCAGGGGACATGGGGATTGGGGGGTTATGTTCGCTAGGGACTGCTTCTCCTGTCTCCTTCCAGTGATGGGGTGTTCAGGAACCGAGTATTATATGATACCCTGAATTTCAGAGGCCGTCAACCCACCACCCAGGCTATTTATACGCGCATAGCTCACTAAACTCTGGGTGCACCCAAGGGAGAGTGAAAAAGAAAAGGGGGAGGGGAAAAATCTGCTTGATTGACACAGCAAGGGAGAAAATAAACCAGTTGCACTTAGAGGCATTTTTAAAAGGCAAATTTAAAGTGGTGTTTTGTTTTATGGGTGACAGGGTGCGGCCGTTTAATGGTTTCAGGTTTAGGAGGCGGGAAGGCTATCAATGCCCACTATCTGGATCTTGGTCCCCAGCAAAATGCTCTTGCAATTGCCCTTGGCTGGAGTTGCCTAGGGGGAGGCGGGTGGCCCTGGCAGAAGACCCCGTCGTCACCCCGCCGGTTCCAGGGAGCATCAGAGACTATAAATCAGAGAGGCGAGACCTCTAGAGGACCCCGACCGGCGTCGCCGGCGCAGACATAGGCCTTTGCGACCTGAGGAATCCTTCAGAGCCCCCAACAGGCCGACCCTGCCAAGCGAGAGCTCCAAGCAAAATTCTCTGGCTTGCCCTATGCTGCTTTCGCCGCTAGGAGGCGCTTGTAACCCACGTTTGCGGAGAGAGTCCCTGCTCAAGACTGCTACTAAAAAGAAAAAAAAGGGGGGGGGGCGCTCGAGCATTACAGTGTGTGTAGTGATTATTTACAGGCGAATCTGGCCATCTCTCCACGTCCTCATCTCCACCTCTGGAAGCTTTCTGGCTCTCAGCGAACGCCCCAAGTCTCCTCGAACTTCATCTGCATTTTGAGAGCACAAACGAGTTCCCCAATTTCAGGATCTGCATTGTCATTCAGCCGCATGGCTCTCACACGCAAACACGCACGCACACGCGCGCACACACAAGTGTTTCCATACGTACAAATGAAAACATTAGAAAAATTACCGTCATTTAAAAAAAAAAATGCTCCAGTATTCTGATGAGTCAGCTTGCAGAGCTCAAAAACATGTAATTTCAATCTTGCGGATCTAAAGAAACGAAGGAGGGAGGGGTAAAAGTACAGAAGCGATGCCGTATTAATATTCAGATAAGCTATAATCTCCTTTTCATTGATCCACAGGTCCTTTCTATAAAGTGCCGCTCCTTTCTCAGTCGCAAGACGTGACGCTACAATCATTTTAACCGCAGCGGTTTTCGCTTGGCTTTGGCTAGTCATCAATTTACTGCAGCTGGGAAAGGATTAGCCATTTTTGCTGGCATCCTTTCCTTCTAACCGCTCCAAGGCAGGGCCCATCACAGGGGGCGGGGGCAGGGCGTAGGCACGCACTCGCCGGACTGGCAGGGGCACGGCTCAGGCTGCAATCACGTCCCTGGACTCGCGCCCTCCTTAATTCCCTGTCAGGAGGGAATGGCAAATTATGGGGTCGGGGAAACAAATCTCCTTTTCCCGCAGGTTGTGGCGGTGTTACTCTGCGGTCATTAAACACTAGGAAGCCACAAGGGGCCTTCGAATCTTGTGGCTTAAGAAGGAGACAGAACAGGAGCTAATTTAGTGAATCAACAACCCCTCTACCGCCCATTAATTAATACACAACTGTTTTAAAAATCTTTTCTAGGAGAATTGACATGCAATCTTCTCTCTCGCATGGAAGAGTTCGCGCTGTATTTGAACTTCACAGGAGCTGGGCGAGTTGACGCACCGTTTTGCCCTCCGCCCCGCGAGTGGACACTCAGAGCTCGCCAAGCACATCCTTCAGGATCCGGGGATCGGGGTGGAGGGTCCGTTGGGGCTCAAGCTCAGCTGAGCGCCTGGGCCAGGGAGGATGGACGCGAGTCTCGGGAAGGTGCCAGCGCGTTGGCTGATGCCCGCAGCGGCACACACACACGGGCCTGGCGTGTTCGCGGCCTCGACCCACCCCCCGCCCCCATCCCCGCCGGAGTTCGCTGCCGCCCCGCTGTACTCAGCCAGCGAGAGTGCAATAATCACTAGGCAAGAATCGGTGCCCGGGTCTAGCACGGAGGCGGGGGGCGGGGGAATCTCCAATTGTCAGAAATAAAGCAGAAAATAGCCTGCGCGCGCCGCCGCCACGTAGCACTTGGTGGGGAGAGGCGCAGGGCTCTCCGCGGCGCCGTGAAGCGCCCGGCGGTGCTCGATACTCGGTGCCCAATGCCACCGGTCGAGTTTTCGGCGGGCTGGAGGCAGAGCTCAAACGAAACAGGCCCCTCAGTCCTTGCTCGAAGCGCTCACAGATCCAACTAGGTCCCCAGGAGAATTAATCTAGTTGGTAAACAATACCGTGGCTCTGCAACGAGGAGGAGAAGAGGTAAGTCCACGGAGTCTGCACGTCGGTGGGAGAGGCCAGCCCTGACCCTTGGCCTGAATCCCACCTCCGCTCCACACTCAGCTGCCGCCCTCCCGGTCCACGCGGCCCCTGCACACCCTCACGCTCAGTGTGACACAGGCCATAGTCTACCCGGTTTTTAAATGTCCTGCCAGTCTCTGCCAGAGGTCCTAAATTAGGTAACTCCTCCTGCCAATTAATGGTCACACTGCAACTTTTTCCCGTTCTCGGTGATTTATTTCCATGATCAGTAGCAAGGAAAATACCTTGAAGGAAAAAGAATGTTAGCGTCATTGGAAACCCCGCTCCTGAGAGAGGATACCGCAGCTGCTGTTGCTATTGTGGTTTCGTATTTGCTGATGCAAACGGGGGAACCTCTCTATTCCCTCTCCATTACCTGCGGCTGGGGACTGGGAACTTTCCGCGGCAGAGTCCCCAGCAAGCGCCTCGGGACCCGCCGGGCGGTTCTCGCTCGCGCACTCACACTCACCGCGCCCGCCGGGGCGCGAGTTCTGTCCCGCCCCGCCCGGTGCCAGGTGACGCGCCTACTTGACGGCCGGTTCTGCCAGTGAACAGTGGCTCGGTGGGCGGTGCTCCTCAGGGATTGGTTGGCAGAATGAGTGCGCTGCGCAAAAACAGAGACGCGTTGCGCTCGGAGCTCAGAAACTGCCAGCGGAGATCACAGGCGCTGAGGCTGAGGCAGGAGGAGGGAAGGACTAGAGGGAAGGACTAGAAGGAAGAGAGACAGGTTAGAGGGAAAGGCTGGGGAAGGAAACGGCAAAAAAGGAACATCTCATCGAACTGAGAGTCAAATGACGGTGGGGATGAGGACGGAGAGAGACAAGACATGAAAGCCCAAAAATTCAAATAGAGCGAAAGAGGGAAGAAAAAAAAAAATGCCAAGAAGAACATCCATCCGGAGAAATGAAGAGAATGAAAGTTTTATGCTGCAGAGCCGGTCTATGCTTTTCCGGCACAACATTCTCTCGCTGTTTTTAAGCCCTTTTGCATTTGCCCGCCGTTGACATTAAGAGGCATGTTCAGCGGTGCCGGCAGCATCTCTTCTTCCTTCTCCTCTTCCTCTTCATCTTCCTCCTCCTTCTTTCCCTCCTCCTCCTTCTCCTCCCATCAGCAAGAAGACAAACCGAGGACAGTCTTGAAATATCGGAATTTCCTCCTTGGGATTTGCCAGCGCCGCGTTGCGCCAAGACTGTCGGAATAAAGGACGCTGACTATTGTATTATTATTTTATTAATTGGTCAGTGGGAAGATTACAGATGAGGAAAGGGGACGCCTGTCACCCTTCCTGCGCTAAGACTGAAAAATGAGGCTGAATTGGGGGAAGTCCTAAAATGAAGCAAAAGGAATAAGATTTTTAAGGACAGAAAGACACAGGGGCCCCCCACATAGCGCACTTTTATTTGTATTTAATTTTTTTTTTTCTCGTAGTGGTGGGGGAGGTGATTGGGTGGCTGACTGGCTGCGGGAAGCTGCTTCCTTTCCCTTTGGAGATGATTGTGCTATTATTTGCCTTGCTCTGGATGGTGGAAGGAGTCTTTTCCCAGCTTCACTACACGGTGCAGGAGGAGCAGGAACATGGCACTTTCGTGGGGAATATCGCTGAAGATCTGGGCTTGGACATTACAAAACTTTCGGCTCGCAGGTTCCAGACGGTGCCCAATTCTCGGACCCCGTACTTGGACCTCAACCTGGAGACCGGGGTGCTCTACGTGAACGAGAAGATAGACCGCGAGCAAATCTGCAAGCAGAGCCCGTCCTGCGTCCTGCACCTGGAGGTGTTCCTGGAGAACCCCTTGGAACTGTTCCGGGTGGAGATCGAAGTGCTGGACATCAATGACAACCCCCCCTCCTTCCCGGAGCCGGACCTGACCGTGGAGATCTCCGAGAGCGCCACACCAGGCACCCGCTTCCCTTTGGAGAGCGCATTCGACCCAGACGTGGGCACCAACTCCTTGCGAGACTACGAGATCACCCCCAACAGCTACTTCTCCCTGGACGTGCAGACCCAGGGGGATGGCAACCGATTCGCCGAACTGGTGCTGGAGAAGCCGCTGGACCGAGAGCAGCAGGCGGTGCACCGCTACGTGCTGACCGCGGTGGACGGGGGAGGAGGGGGAGGAGGAGGTGAAGGAGGGGGAGGCGGCGGGGGAGGGGGCCTGCCCCCCCAGCAGCAGCGCACAGGCACGGCACTACTCACCATCCGAGTGCTAGACTCCAACGACAATGTGCCCGCCTTCGACCAACCCGTCTACACTGTGTCCCTCCCAGAGAACTCGCCGCCGGGCACGCTGGTGATCCAGCTCAACGCCACAGACCCAGACGAGGGCCAGAATGGCGAGGTCGTGTACTCCTTCAGCAGCCACATTTCGCCCCGGGCGCGGGAGCTCTTCGGACTCTCCCCGCGCACAGGCCGGCTGGAGGTGAGCGGCGAGCTGGACTACGAAGAGAGCCCGGTGTACCAAGTGTACGTACAAGCCAAGGACCTGGGCCCCAACGCCGTGCCGGCACACTGCAAGGTGCTCGTGCGAGTGCTGGATGCTAACGACAACGCGCCGGAGATCAGCTTCAGCACCGTAAAGGAGGCGGTGAGCGAGGGCGCGGCGCCCGGCACGGTGGTGGCCCTGTTCAGCGTGACCGACCGCGACTCGGAGGAGAATGGGCAGGTGCAGTGCGAGCTGCTGGGGGATGTGCCGTTCCGCCTCAAGTCTTCCTTCAAGAACTACTACACCATCGTGACCGAGGCGCCCCTGGACCGCGAGGCGGGGGACTCCTACACCCTGACCGTGGTGGCTCGGGACCGGGGCGAGCCGGCGCTCTCCACCAGTAAATCGATCCAGGTGCAAGTGTCAGATGTGAACGACAACGCACCGCGGTTCAACCAGCCGGTCTACGACGTGTATGTGACAGAGAACAACGTTCCGGGCGCCTACATCTACGCGGTGAGCGCCACGGACCGCGACGAGGGCGCCAACGCCCAACTATCCTACTCGATCCTCGAGTGCCAGATCCAGGGCATGAGCGTCTTCACTTACGTTTCCATCAACTCCGAGAACGGCTACCTGTACGCCCTGCGCTCCTTCGACTACGAGCAGCTCAAGGACTTCAGCTTTCAGGTGGAAGCCCGGGATGCCGGCAGTCCCCAGGCATTGGCTGGCAACGCCACAGTCAACATCCTCATCGTGGATCAGAACGACAACGCCCCTGCCATCGTGGCGCCCCTGCCGGGACGCAACGGGACGCCAGCGCGCGAGGTGCTGCCCCGCTCGGCGGAGCCCGGTTACCTGCTGACTCGTGTGGCCGCAGTGGACGCAGACGACGGCGAGAACGCCCGGCTCACCTACAGCATTGTGCGGGGCAACGAAATGAACCTCTTCCGCATGGACTGGCGCACCGGGGAGCTCCGCACAGCGCGCCGGGTGCCGGCCAAGCGCGACCCCCAGCGGCCTTACGAGCTGGTGATCGAGGTGCGCGACCACGGGCAGCCGCCTCTGTCCTCCACCGCCACCCTGATGGTGCAGCTGGTGGACGGCGCAGTCGAGCCCCAAGGCGGGGGCGGGGGCGGTGGCGGGGGGTCAGGGGAGCACCAGCGCCCCAGCCGCTCCGGCGGCGGGGAGACCTCGCTGGACCTTACCCTCATCCTCATCATCGCCCTGGGTTCGGTGTCCTTCATCTTCCTGCTGGCCATGATCGTGCTGGCCGTGCGTTGCCAAAAAGAGAAGAAGCTCAACATCTACACGTGTCTGGCCAGCGATTGCTGCCTCTGCTGCTGCTGTGGCGGCGGGGGCTCGACCTGCTGCGGCCGGCAAGCGCGGGCGCGCAAGAAGAAACTCAGCAAGTCTGACATCATGCTGGTGCAGAGTTCCAACGTACCCAGCAACCCGGCCCAAGTGCCGGTGGAGGAGTCCGGGGGCTTTGGCTCCCACCACCACAACCAGAATTACTGCTACCAGGTCTGCCTGACCCCTGAGTCCGCCAAGACCGACCTGATGTTCCTTAAGCCCTGCAGCCCTTCTCGGAGTACGGACACTGAGCACAACCCCTGTGGGGCCATCGTCACCGGCTACACCGACCAGCAGCCCGACATCATCTCCAACGGAAGCATTTTGTCCAACGAGGTAAGGCTGAAGCGAAAAGACCACCATCTCTCATCTCCTCCATCTGAGAGCCTCCTCTAGCCCGGCCCTTGTTATCTCTGGTGCACTGTGTATTTATTTTTAGGATATTAGCTTATTTGTATCTTTGTGGAGGTGGGAAGGGGGGATCACCCTCTTTCACCCCTTTGTGTGTAACCTAACTACGCGTTGTCCCTGATTTTCTGCGCTCCACCCCTCCACGTTTATTTTCATTCCCTCCCCTTGGTGCTCGCTACCTTGGACCTTCTTTCTTCCCTCTGGCATCTTTGCTTTAAAACCCTAATCCCCGCTCACTCTCAGTCGTTTCCCTTTTCGGAAATCTGGGAGTGAAGGGGCAAATGGGAGGGGACAGAGGGAAATGGGGTGGGGGAACTTGCTGGCACTGGCAAAGGTCTTTTTCTCTTCGCGTTTGTCACAGGCATTAATAAAGTTAAAATTGTTTCGCCCTGTTTATCAATGCTTTCGTCGCGTGTAAAAGTAAGCTATAGATTGTTTAACTTTGCACAGTTGTCTAAACTCGAATGCATGTCGTAGTGAATGAGCTATCAGATTCTTGTGCTCTGAACTCGGGGTGCAGAGAAGCCTTCAGTTCTGCTCCGGACAGCATTTACAGATGCTCTTGAAGCCGAAGGCCCACACAGTGTGAATTTGAATGAAGTTGCTTTGGCACAAACCCCTGTAAGCGTAAACTAAATGGAAGGCTTAAACGATGATTGTCTTAAATATATCTTTTAGCTAACAGTCACCTCCTTGACACTGCTTTTTCATACATCACTGTTGTTGGCTTTCTTCATCAAAGAACTTGGCTTGTCAATTCTGGTTTCTTAAAAGATGGAGAAGTGGCAAAGTTGGAAGGAGGGAGGGAGAGGGAGAAGAGAGTTGATTTATGTATTAAAAAAAAAAAAAAAGTTTGACCAGAAGAGGCATGTGGGTGGTGGAGGAGGGAGGAGCATGAAGAGGGGTTTTGGAGGGGGAAAGATTTTGGCGGGAGGGAGGGTTATGAACTCCTTCCTTGGCAGGTTATTTTATTTATTTGAGTCTTAGATATCATTGACTTTCATGAATATTTGTACAGCTCATTTGTATCTTAAGCACATTTTGAAAATAAACAACAAAATAATTCCATAAAACATCCAAACTTTTTGATTATTGAGCGTGCTGTTTTTCTTGTGTCAATCAGGGTGCACCTAAACACTTTTTTAGGCCATTGAAAGAAAGACTGCAGAATATACCTAGGTCGGCTCTGAGAGTCTCTGAGTCCCAGCTATGAGGTCATTTGCATTCTCAAAAACCCCCACACATTGAAAAATGGCCTTTTATTTCCGCATTTTTTTTAAACCTGTACTGAAAACCTAGACTGGCGTGTCTTTACCTGCCTCCCTGCTCTCACCCAGCAAGAAGGGCTGAGTTCTGCGAGCAATGTAGAAATTCATGCAAACGTACACAATTACTTAAGCTCGAATTAGTTCCTAACCTCAAAAGCAGACTATTAGTTAAGCCCTTAGCATTCAAATGCTCTTGATTTATTTATTTTTTTCCTAGACTAAACACCAGAGAGCAGAGCTCAGCTATCTAGTTGACAGACCTCGCCGCGTTAACAGGTATGAAGTTCTTCTTCTTCTTCTTCTTTTTTCTTTAGCTTGGTGTATAGACAAGCTGCTACCTGCTACAAGTAGGAATTAGGTATATCATTCAATATTAAGATACAAAACGCTTTCGATTAAGGCAGGTCATAAATACTAATTATGTTGTGTTTCCTAGATAATACATTAAAATATGGGTATATTTTATTTATATAGAAGCTACTAAATGTATTTGAATATTTTGTCAGTTTTCACTCCTACAGTGCTTCAGGTAGTCTTCCTAATTATTCCGGGGGGGGGGTGTGTACACACACATGCTGTATAAAAATAATATAACCATAAACTTAGCTCCAATCATATAATACTGCCTAAACTTTACGTGCCTTAAAGGGCTCCAACTGCCTGCTAATTTTACAGAGTTAGGCTTAAGGTGATAAAAACAGGCATCATGCAGAAATAAAGCCAGCCGAGAGGCCTATGAATCTGCAGCGCCACCAGTGACCATGTGGTGGCAGAAGAATGTTTTCTGTGTCACTTCACCTTTTTCTAAAATTCCAATATTCACGTTTTTGCACTTCTAGTTCTGCATTCCAGGAAGCTGACATAGTGAGCTCCAAGGACAGCGGTCATGGAGACAGTGAGCAGGGAGACAGCGACCACGATGCCACCAACCGTGGCCAGTCAGCTGGTGAGTGCGATCAAAGGGCCATCGGCATGCTGACCTTCATAATCAAAAAAAGAGAAATCCGGAAAAGATGATGTTCTAGGCAATTCCTTTGTAAATTTCATGTTGGTGCCTCTACAGAAATGCATGGTGTCATCCTATGTTGATAAGTATATACTCAAAGAGGGTTATCGAAATAGAATGTTCCTTTGGACAGTTAAAGTTAGACATTCATTATGGAATGTGTTAGAATACGAAGTATTTCTTCCTTATCTAATGTGCTTTAATGGAATTATAGTGCGTGCCCAAAGCCAAAGATCCCTTACCTGGGCCAGCCCCCAGTCTTCAGTCAATTAAGGTATTATTAGACTTGTTTGTGGATGAGGTAACTGAAGATGAATGAAATTGATTGACCTGCACAAGGTCACAAGAGGATAAGTGGATGACTGGAGACTAGTACCCACATTTCTTGCTGTCCAGACAGTGCATTTTGTATGTCACCAAGTAGTGAATGAGAGAATGAATGGTGATTAAAAGGCCCAAATAGGTTGAAAGCAGGATTTCCAACCCTGGGTTCTTCGGTTTCAGGTCTTTGGAGGACTTTTGATAGCTTGTATTTTTTGAAGAGTGCTACATTTCCTCATCCTTTCAACTGAGTTCATGACCTGTCAAAAAGTTGGACTTTGTGTGTATTTATATGTGGGCTTCATGGTTGTACTGCAGGGCTGCAATGGGGTACATATTTTTAAAATTTATTTTACCCTTATATTTTGCTTTACTTTTTCTATATAAATTTAATCTTCACATTTTATAGGACCCGGATAACTCCAATTACTAATGCATAAAGGCAACCCTTAAGGGAAATAAAATACGTACCTTAAAATAATGAAAATCATTTCATAAAATTTGGTTTTCTTTTTGTTTTCTTTGCATGCCAGCTAAAAGGGTGATTGCTGATTTTTTTTTTTTTTTTTTTTTTTTACTTTTTCTTTTCTGAATAAGTTTTGTTTATCTGACACAGAAGAAAACGGAAAGGGACGTCAACCCTTGTAACTTCTAAGAATGTCCGTTTTTGGACCGTCTCAGGATCCAACTCCTTTCACTTACAATTTGAGCTTTATTTTGGCTAATGGCAATAGCAGAGAATGATAGGGTCCTCATTTCCAAGCTGCCATTGGTCCTCGAGAACACCCATTCCTCAACACACTTGGTGGACCTCCGAATGGTCCGAATAGCGCTGAGGCCCGGTGTCAAAGGGCAGGCCACGCCCCACGGTCGCCTGGCAGCAGTGGCGGCTGCAAGCCTAAGACTGGGCTAATGTGTGCTGTGTCTGAGGCCGCCTCAGGCTTGGGAAACACAGGCAGGAGGAGGGGGGGGAAGGCTGCTCAAGGGTCTCTTTATATTGCTGCAAGTCATTAACATGCAGACCTAATGAGACTTGAGAACTGCCAAGAAACCCCGGAGGTCCCTGCCCCTTGCGGGCCTTCACGCTAAGTGAACAGAGCATCTATTTAGTGTCTGGGAACCTGACAACAAACCAGATCTTGCCAGAAGTTTATATTTGAGTACAAAGTCCCTTTTATTTTTGGCCTATATGTGGCATATGATTTATTGTTATCTTTAAGAAGCTGTACATTTAGAATTGTGCATTCCTAGTCTTTTCTTGGGGTTTCTCACTTAACAGTCTTTCAAAACTTTTAAAACAAAATCTTTAATATTAAAAACAGACTATCTGCTGCATGCTTCCAGGGATGCACTTTATTCCTTTCCCACTCCCCCACTTGGCTTTTTTCTGTGGCACTCCAATCTCAGGGAACATTTCAATTAGTTTAGTCCCTCAGACATAATGAGCTATAATAATCTAACCAAAGAAAGAAAAATGAATAAACATCTGCAAAAAACCCACTAAATTTGGAAGATGGATGGGGATCTATCCTTGCCCATGTGCCTTCCCAGTAGCTATTTTATTTCACAGGCCCTCCGTTTTGCCATTTGGGTAATGTTTCTCTCAAATTGTTTGAGATGTCAAAGCATTAAAAGGGAAAGTAAAATGCCAAATTGTGTTCTGAAAAAAACAGTTTTAAAAAGTAAAGGGATTTTTTTTCTTTATCAAAGTGGCAATTTTTTCCCCTCTCTTTAAGTTTTAAAATCTGTAAAAGTATTATGGAACTTACAATCTGTGTATTTCATGAGCAGTCCTGGGGCAGCCACTACATACTGGGCACAAAAGAGCTGTTTCAGAATTGGCATCGCACACTTGTGTTAAGAAGTGATCGCACCTTTGGGTGCTGAGTTGCAGTCAGTTTTAATATGTCTAATCTTATTTTAAGAATGATTCTGAGTGTTTTCTTTCAAGTGCAAAACCTTACGTGCAGAGAATTAAAATACTTTTACTTAATGCTTTTTTCCAGTCATACTGATAGCGCATACTGTAAATCCCGCACCAAGTAGCTAGAATATTTTCTGAAAGTTCAGCCCATTTCAGGTAATTACGTACATCTGTTTTATGTCCTTGAAAAGTCAGGTATTAATGATCTTCCAATGTTGCAATATTTAGGAAATTTTCATAGCACATCTATTTTTAGGTTTAGGATATGAAAACATTTTGTACTACTAAGCAAATCCTACTCAGCTGGATTTTATGGGGGATAGGTCAGATTATCAAGGCAAAATTACTCTGGAAAGATACAGATTCTGAAATCTCTTCTTTAATTTGTACCTCGTTCCATACTGCATTTCCTATACTATTTAGCTTAGTGCTTCACCTGTATAATCCCCACTTTCTTTTCCTATGCTCACATTACTTTGTATGCATTTAGTTAGATATGCCTTCCATTTATTCTTCTATGAATAGTTTTCTTTTTTGTTCTGTCCCCACCCCTCCTCCACTTGTCCTCATTCTAAGCCATTTGCAGTCACCAATTTTGTTCATAGAAGGGCTTTAAATACAGAGGCAGCTGCACAGAGAATCACATAAGCTTTTTCAGTTTTCCACTGCACCTGGCTCCATGTGTGAAATTCTTCGGCTTGACCACTGCTCTGTGGCACTTTTTTCTCTAGCCTTGTCAAGGTGCTTTCCGTTTTTTTCAGTGCACTATTGATGTATTGGTTAGATATGGCTGAAGTCCAAGGAGATGTGGTAAACGCATGCATAAATCATCACAAGAGGAAAAACTGATTAATCACAGCTTAAATGGCTAGAGAAAGTCTAAGTGGATTTTTAAAGAAATATGTTTTAAAATTTGTTTTTTATATCATTAGATTAAAAGATAAGCTTTTTTATCTCATTTATAATACTGATACACCATTTTTTGCTGTATTTTCTTATATTATTGGAGGTACATCTAAGGAGATGTATCAAGTTGTAAGAAGTTTTATTTTCATTTAAAATACTTACAATGTGAATAATACTAGGATAAATTATGAATTTATTGTTAAAAATTGTGGCTTCTTAAAAATATAATGAAGAGGAGAACCCTAATAAGTGATTTCATTAATGTTACTTGTTATAGTTTACTTCAAAGTGTAAAATTGTTCATGTTAATTTTTTTTTTACTTATAAGGGAACTCATTCTCTAAATGTATTTATTTCTTAACTCATTATTATGAGATTAATACTTGATATATATTCAAAAATGTGTCTATACATTTAAACATAAAATGATTTAAATTATTAATATATTCGAAGCAGGAGACAAATTATGTTATGAAATATATTAACCCATTGCTCAACTACAACAATATTACCAAGAATCCTTGACTTACCATAAATGTAAGACCGCTTTTCAAACTCCAACAAGAATTTAGACACTGGCAAAATTTTTGGCTTTGTAGGTAAAATGAATTTACACCATTGTTTGCAAAAGCTTTTATTAAAGTTTCTGGTGAAAATCAGAGCTATAACTTGATGTGAAGAGATTTATAATTAGAATAATATATAACATAAAATGTTGACAGAAAATGAAGAAAAATATAAACATTGGGGGAAAATCATGATATACATGTTTCAGATTTTCATGATTGAATTACGATGATAAATATCTGTCTCCAAACCACATTCTTCTAAAAATTATACAAATTTTTGTGGTTTTATTTAATAACTCTGTTTTCCAGTGGTATGTGATTAAAGGAAGACTGGCAATTTAATAAAAAATTAATTGTTGATTTTTTTAAAAAATTAACTTACCATGTTTTGAAAAAAATTAAACACTTTTAATGAAAGTTTGATGCATGAGAAAGACACATACACACAGTTTTGTATTATTACATTCACCAGGACACAGTACAAGTTGAATACAAATATAATATTTTTGAAATTACAGTTTGTTCTCAGTGGTAATATCACTGTCTTTGACTGTAAGGGACAAGTTACTTGCCAGTTACAAAAGACATATTTTAAAATTTGTCTAAATATATCTATGCATAACAGGCAGTCTATCACATCAGCTGTCATGCCTGGTAGAACAGATTATTTCTGAGAAGTGGAGAAAATAAATAAGTAGGAGAAGAAATTGGAAGTTAAATATATATATAGAGAGAGAGATTTCATAGAAACTACCATACCTTCAAAACTGAGGTTTGTTCTGTATTTTTCTGCTATACAAATCCTACAGGTACTATAGTAAGGGCATTTGAATGAGGACAAAAAAAAAATCAAGTTAAATTTATTTTCTCTTGGGACGTCAATTTGAGCCATTGAAAAATCCCCAGAGCAATGTGAATTTTAATGTTATTTTAATTGTCACATGTTAAAATATCTAGCATTCCTGGGTGTCATATAGTCATTTATCACAACAAAACAAATATATCTTTGCTTATTTGGTCATTAAAATAATATATTTAATAGAGTTAACGATAAATGAAAAAAAAAGATAAAATAATGTTAATCTTTCAATGGCTCCTTAAGGTGAGGATAGGTAATGGGAGAAATTTATTTCGTTCTCAAACAATACATCTAAAAATCAAATGAAAAAAATCCATTTTCAATAATGTTTTTGTAACTTTAGTTAAATGTACTAATGTACTATTTATGTTGTTTAAAAATTGTTTCTGTGATATTTTCCTTGCTATGTGTACACTTCCCTTATCAGTAAAACTGGTAAAACATATTCATGTATAATTTGTGCCACCTTATCTTTCCTTCTAGCTATATAAAGCTGTGTGTTAACTAAGAACATTATTTATTTTGTTTCTTCTGGCAAATAACATTCTTCCAACCGAAAACTTCAGCTTCTTTCACCACTCTTCTTACGCACATGTATATTCTGTATGGGTTCTCAATTCATGAGGACTTTATTATATCATCTGAGAGAATCTTAACTAGCCTCTAATAATTAAAAGAGGCAGAACACTTTACACTTCAAGAGAAGAAAGTAGGTGCAATTAAATATAAACTACCCGTAAAAACAAGTTCTACTAAAAGTACCTCCTAACATAGTTAAACAACTGCATAATAATGTTGAAGGACTAGTTTCATTAAAATTTTTCTGTGTGACATTATCATACTCATAATTATAGGCGTACTGGGGCACAGGTCCTCCGAAAGTTGTGAAAGATTGTTAATGGTTTTGTGGTACATTTAAAATGATATTTTTCACTCATATGGGAAAAAATTGTTTTAATTCTAAATTTTGCATTAGGTACCCATTTTTATCAGGATCAATAATACAATTCTACCTTAACATTTGAATAATTCTATCAACTTCAAATTTAATATAACTTGAATTTATTTTTTAAGTAAATAAGCACTGATAATAAATTTGCTCTTCACAGTCATTTCATCTATTTAAAAAAGCCTTCCCCTCACATTATACATAAGGAGCATCATAATATGAACTTCTCCGGTTCTCTAGCTTCTACCTTCCTGGTATGGCAGTGTCTAGTAGTGACATTCTTTCCCCTCTTCTCTTTTTCCCTCTACATAGCTCCTTGCAGAAATAGGATAAAGAACTGACCTTTGGTGTCTTGGGAAACACTGAGATGTTTTACATGCTGTTCTCAGCCTGGACCTTATCCCAGCTTCGGCTCACGTTTCTATTCCTCAACAGTTCACTGATCAGTAATTTATTTGCAGACTTATGCATGACAACTGTCAATGGAATGTTATAATCAAAGTTAGACTTTGCATTATACATAGTTTAATTTAAATTTTAAAGAGTCATTATAAAGTGAGATTAATATATGATAAGAAGCCCGGTGTTATTTCCTTAAACATAATTTACATAATCAATGGTTCTTAATTCATGGATAACCTAGAGGGTTGGTGATTTTGAAAAATTATTCTCTTTATTGTATATATACAGATGTTAACATATTCATGCACACAAGTAAGTCAGTGTGTGACAGAATACCATCAGGGATTTAAAACTGAAACTTGCTCAAGAGCTCAAATCACTTATGATGTCTGTGGAAGAAACAATCAAGTGTGTTCATTACATAAATACTACTCTGTTGGTTAAACCAATAAGAACAATCTCATGAAGAATAAGCATGCAGTCTAATTTCTTACATACAGACCAATCTTACTTTGGTTATTTCAAATTGACCATGTTTAAAAACATATTCGATAAATGTGTTACTATATTTAGAAAAACATTAAAATGCAATCTTAGTTTATGACTTGTTCTGCATTAGTTCTAATTATCAAAATGAATATGAAATAGTATTCTGTAGCTCTCAAAATTGTGATGCTTTGCTTAAGTAACTGAACGAGCTTTCTTGAGCCAAAATCAGATAGTATGTAATAGTCTTGTTAATCTATGGGAGACAATGAAACTTGAAGTTGACATTTGAAATCTTCACACAGCAAATCCTTACTTAACATCATTGTAGGTCCTGTGGACCGACATATAATAAACCAGTTATACCATAGGCTGATTAATAAAAAAGAGTTACTTTCCTATACCATCTCTTCAACATTATAACAAAATGATGAAACATTATTCAAGGACCTGCTGTATTCTGGGATTAGTAAGCAAATGGTCTGCGTGGACTAGGATCAGTGTTTTCCAATATAGAACAACTAATAAGGTATTTGTCAATAGTATCTGCAGTTGACTCACATTGCACTTGGTTACCTTGGTTTCACTAATTACAGTCATTAGTTCTGGTTTAGTCTAAGGAGGGGAATGATGAGTGTAGTAATATGGGCTACCAGAGTGTCATTGAGAATTATCTTTTAGGAAGTAATTTCCTAGGAACCTAGGGAAGCATGTCCTTGGACATTCATAACATCTTATTTCATTCTTGCTATTTACTGGTTTATCAATATATATGCCAGTTTTCTGTTGAATTTCATTTTTTGTACCATGTTCAGATTTCACAATCTAAATATCAGCTTCAGTGCTTTGTGTATTTCTTCTAACTTTCCTTCTAACGAAAAATTGTCAGGTGAGTTATTATCATTAAAGATTTATGGATGATGAAAAGTTTACACTTCTTTTTCTTTTTTTCTGTTATGAACTTCACCAGAGATTTTTAAAAAGTATTCATTCTTTTTCTTCTCATCATTTCCCAAGTATTTACAAAATTTAGAGCCAGTATATTTTCTCCAATACACCAAGTAGTGTAGAAACACCTATCTCAGAAGACTTTTTGCCAAAAGTCTTACCCTTGACAAAATAAAACAGAGTTTTGGTTCCTGTCAGGTTAAGACAGGCCCCTTGTGAAGACTTCAGACATCACTCTTTGTGCTGCCTGTAATCCTTCACTGCTGAGCCACGCTGGCAAAGCCTGCATCTGCAGTCTCTCTCTTTCCTGCTCACAGGTATGGATCTCTTCTCCAACTGCACCGAGGAGTGTAAAGCCCTCGGCCACTCAGACCGGTGCTGGATGCCTTCTTTTGTCCCTTCTGATGGACGCCAGGCTGCTGATTACCGCAGCAATCTGCACGTTCCCGGCATGGACTCTGTTCCAGACACCGAGGTGTTTGAGACTCCGGAAGCCCAGCCTGGGGCGGAGCGGTCCTTCTCCACCTTTGGCAAGGAGAAGGCCCTTCACAGCACCCTGGAGAGGAAGGAGCTGGATGGACTGCTGTCTAATACACGAGCGCCTTACAAACCACCATATTTGAGTAAGTATTACATAAAAGGCTGTATCAAAGTATTCCCCTTGAAGAAATCAAGTTCAACACGTCATTCTTCTTAATAAAAAGAGAGTTCAAGTTGTTTTCAGAAACAAGGATAACAGTGACCCTTGGATGCAGGCAGCACTTTACTATGGAAAAATGAATATACTTAACAGGAAGATAGGCTTCCGTGTTAGGACATGCTTGTTGACAACAATCAAAAACAATACTTCTGATGTTGTTGAAAACATTTTTCAAGTGCTCTTCATATTTCCTTTGAATATTGCTCTCTTACACGTTTTTTGAAGGGCTTAATCAAGATAGAAAAACATCTTATTACACTTGAGTCGCTGAGAGATCTCATTTTCTTATTGATGCCAGCGTTTTTGCCTAATCACCCTTTTACCATAGTGACATCAAACACATTATGCTAAATTCAGAAACCAGTGCAGACTTCACTTTGACCATGCAACATGGTTTAGCAACATGTTGGTATGGATTCTAGCTTGATTCAAACCAGAGGAAATGCATGATGAAAGCAATGTCCTCATTTATTTAAAATAACAGAGTCTTGTAGCATTGAAGCTTTGATAATTTCACTCCTCTCTTTCAATCTTGGGACTGTATTCTTTAAGTGGATTGTTTTATACAACCACTGTGAAAAATAAAAATGTTTTGAGATTCCCTGTAGAATATTTCCTTTGAGGATCTTAATAATGAAATTATACGATTTATTGTCTGCTACATAGAAATATTTTCCTTTTAGTGGATAAATGCTACTGACAATTCAATATTTTGGTCAAACCACATGATGACTTTTATGAAATGGGATGAAAAAAATAAAAGAACGTATATATTAGCCTGTATGAATATAAATGTGAAAGGCATGGATTGAATCCACTGAAGATGTGGCTACTACTCTGGCCATTGATAATAAAAATACATGAGTGTCACATGATTAAAGAGTGGATCTGCCATCAGATGCATACATTGTGATGGCAGCAATGATCACATGTTGTTATAGGAAGGATCATGTTCAGCTTTTCACATTATTTAGAAATGCCATTACCTTAGCATGATATAGTATTTTAGCATTTCAGAACCAAAGAATTGTGCTGCCCTATAAATAATTATTTGTTTTGGTTTATTTTCAAAGTTATAAAATACAAGGTAAACAAACACTTAATGAAAGAAAAGTATTGAAATATCTAACATAATAATAAATGTGTAAGTTGAATGCTAAAGTCCTGAAGTTTAACTTAAACATCTACACACATTAGTGTTTTAAAGTCGCCTAAAATCAAATTTTAATCAATGTGAACTACGGTGCAGCCTTTTGTCCTCAAACTGAACTCTTGATTTTAAATATTGTTATCAAAAAACAAGCTTTTCCAATTTTAAATAACATATTCTCACTTTAAGAATATACATTGTAGATATACGTTATCAATGATTTCAACACAAAAAAAAGGTCAAAAAACATATGATTCAGAGTAACTCAAATTTGTATTTTTAAATACACACAAATATTTCTCTGTTAGTATATATCAATTGGTGAGACTTCATCAAATACCTGAAAAAAATTGATTCACCCTCTTTTGCTCATAGTGAGTATAAATTCTGATGAAGTTTTACTTGCATATAGAAGTGAAAATTTAAACATTTACAAATGTATTTTCTTCTCTGACTAGTATTTCTCTTTAAGTATCACAGTAACAATTTAATACAAATGTTAATGCTGCATATATTTTAATGAAAAGTTATCTAACCCCTAAGAATCCAGTGTTTTCATTTAGAAACTTGACTTCAGAAATTAGGAGATATGTTGGTAGTTATGTATATTGCTAGAAATCAAAGACTGTCTATTATTTTAACAAGAGAATTGCATTTGTTTGCATATTATCCAGGTATGTATTAGAATAAATTAGTTCTTAATAGCAATTTATTTTTCCTGTTTTAGCCAGTTCATATTGCTCGAAATACTGGGTTTGGGATGAATTGTGACCTGGATGAAAAATAAGTAGAACAATAGCTATTTTGTTTTTACTTGTGCTGTCTTTAGTTTCTCCTATAATTTTAATCACATCTGAATTTTTTTAATTTCTAGTATTTAATGTCATCTTAGACTCACATGGTATCTTCAAAATTATATCATGGCTCTGATTTAATAGCCTTAGTCAATTTTATGGTTAATCTAATAGTACAAACTGTAATCCAAAACCATCCCTGACCATTTTGCCCTCCAAATTCACATGGTAATAGTTGTTAACAGTTGTTTCATTTATCATTGGCAAAGGAAATATCCTCATCTTCTAAATTGAAAAGCACATCCCTTATGTAATTAAGGAAGCTAAAAATTGACACTAATTACTTGTTTTTAATCAGAATGTTTAAATAATTACTGAGGTGGCAGTTTTTCTTTTACTAACCATGCATTTAGTTTTATAATGAACATTATGTACATTTTGATGTTCAGAAAAGTCACTGTATATTTAGTTATTTTGCAAAGCTCTAAAAAATGTCTAACGAGGTTACCACTGTCATTCATGCAGTGATGGCAGGGAAATAGTGATAGGCTTAGTAACACAAGTGAGATCATCGTCCATACTCAAGAACTTTCCTTTCCTATACCTCTGATTGCTAAGATTGAAATTCAAAATTTCAATAGCAAAAAGACTCAGTAGGAAACTGACTCTTACACAAGGGTAGGTATATATACAAATTAAAAAATGTACTTTGTGTTTTTAATAACTAAATACAGTCATGCTTCCTTAGAAAAGGTCCATGAAGAGTATGCATGATGCATTTAATGAAAATACAACTTATATTTTTAATCAGGAGTAATTTTGAAAACACATCTATAATACTTGCCTTGTTAGTCATGAGCACTTTCTCTTATTTTTGTTACAGTGTTGTCATTTGTTAATATTCTGACAAAAACCAAAGGGACACACTGAAAAATTGAGGAAAGAAATTTCAACATGTAGAATATGTTTATAATAATTTAAAATCAACACAGCATTTTGATTTATTTTAAAATATTAATAAATTTCAGCTTAACCTCACTTTTAATTAGTAGAGTAATAAAAATACCAGCCCTGGTTAGTGTGGTTCAGTAACCTGAGTTTTGGACTTTGAAGCAAAGGGTCACTGGTTCGATTCCCAGTCAGAGCACTCGGCCTGAGTTACGGGCCAGGTCCCCTTTGGGAGGTGCATGAGAGGCAATCACGCACTGTTGTTTCTCTCCTTCTCTTTCTCCCTCCCTAACCTCTCTAACAATAAAAAAATAAAATCTTTAAAAAACACTAAAATATTGCTTTAACTTTTATTTTTAAATTTAAAAATAACATTGCATTTTTATCACAATGAATGAAAGAATTTAGAATTATAGGCATCTTAAAATAAATTAGTCTTTCAAGTGATGCAATAAGTTACATAAAACAAACTGGATTGTTTCAGTAAATAAGAAACAAAAATAATTTAATTTTAAGAATATAATCAGTAAAAGTTATATAATTTAGAAAAACCCAATAATAAAACAGTATCTTTAATTTATTTTTGTAATAATTCTTGCTTATGATTTTGGCTTGACATTGAACATCATCTTGTAAGGTTTTTGTCAGTAAACAACTATGGCTTTCAGTAACTAATCAGCTGAACAATACAGAACTAAAGGTATAAGTATTTGTAAAATTGTTGCTTTCTTGTCAGTGAGCACAGTCCCTGAGAGTTGAAGATAACCGTAAGATAATCAAAGAAATTTTTAAAAAAAATATTTGTAAGAACCTTTTGTTGGATGAAGTCATACAATACTAAATTATATTTAATAAAGGGAAAAACTGCACCGATATAATTATTTTTAAACTATAAATCCATGAAATTTTCTAAAATCACAGGACTATAGGGAACCACCTGTTCAAAATTGTCACGGCGCATTGTCTTCAGATCCGTGGAGTTAGCCGTAGGCCAAAATATCACACTAGCTGTTTTCTGACCTAACTTTAGTTTTGCCTACTTTTGAGCCTTTTTGGAATGTCAATGCTACTCATCCATGTCGTAACATAAGAAAAGGCATCAGGGCTTCAAAACATCGCGTTTAAACTATTGTTGATACTTTACCTAGGCTTTGTTTTTAGTAAACCCCAATTTGGGAAATTTGGGCATCTATATTAATTCTATTGAAGACTTAAAGTTGTTTTGTTTGTTTTTTTTCTAAATTGAAATTGTAGAACGTGTTTTGTTTAGTCACGTCTCTTCCAATCCCTTCATGACCTCAATCTGCCTTTTGTACATTTTTGTCATTTGTTGAACTCAATTGTGTGGTAAGAGCATACATATAATTCAAAATCAAACTTTTTTATTTATACTCATTATCCTCATATTTACATACCCCTGTGTAGTGTTTTCTCTAAGATTTGTAAATTCCTGTAGTCTCATAAAGATAACATCACTTTATCAAATATTCGAGTCCACAAATAAGTATTTTTATACATGGCCTTTTTAACATTTCCGTCTCATAGGATCCATGCATCATTAAATGAAGGGGCATCCTTTTCCAGAGTTTTTTCTTTTCCAGTAGATGTTTTTTTTTTGTTCCGTTGAGTTGTGTTACTTTTTTTATTATTACCTATTTCTGAGATTTTTTCTCTCTCACTATTTTTTATAATAACATAACTGGACTTGTAAACTTAACTAATTTTCTCACTGTTTAGTGTATCTATTTGTGACAAATCTCTGGTCTTTCAATCACAGTAGTTTTTCTATTTTTCCATTAAATTCCTTTTCTCAGGAATTAACACCTAATTCTCTCATGATCAAAATAGTTCATTCTTTTCAACTCTGTGAACAGGAACAGATGATAACTCAATCAGGAAAATATCCAACCTCAGTTTATATTTTCTATATATTTACTGCAGAACTTAGTATTCACTGAATTTTATAATATTTTACTTTGAAATAGGTGATCTATTCACAATACATGTAATTACCTTAGTTAACTGATGCAA